AACAAATAACACTATCGCTAAATACAAAATAAATGAATAATAATAATAATAAAAATAATATATATAAAAAAAAAAAATAAAATAAAAAAAAGGTCGATTGGCGCCCCGGAGCCCTTCACAACATATCGGACATATCGTGCATAGTACTACATCGGAAGGTAGTACATCCAGGATGACCAAAATTAACCTTTACAACATCCTTCAAAGCTGCCCAAAATTTTCTTAACTCCGCAGTAATTCGATAACTTACCTGAGGTTATAGTAACTTACTGGTAATTTATCGATAATAACTAGGAATGGGCCACTGCGCAGAATTTTTGAGAGGCTGCGCAGTGTGATTTTTAAATTCAGGCTAGCTGGTATAATTCTGGCCAGCTGGCATAATTCTGGCCAACTTGAATAGAATTTTAAGTTATCTCTACTATATGTTATGTGCATTTCATGTGCAGGCTGCGCAGAAAATTTGAAAAATTCACGATTTGCCCATCCCTAATAATAACTCACCGTTTACAATCCTGGTCGTGATGCGAATAAAGTCTTCGATATAATAATACTAGTTACACCTCTGTAATGCCGGTACTTTATCTAAAAACATATGGGCAGAAATTTTTAGTTTGAATGTTGATTATTGAAATTAGGTGATAATAAAGTGATATTCATAAACAGCTCAAATGATCCTAAATTGATCTGGTTCAGGTTAGTTTCGGGGTTTAACCGAGCACTCATAAATGAGATAAACAATAAGTAACTCGTAAGCGATTCATAATCAATTTACGATCACTGATCAAATAATTACTATTAATCTAGGAATTACATCATATTTTGGGTGTTCTCAAGCAACTCCTTTAATGTGATCGAGATCGTGCACAAATAATTCTTAACTTTTCAATATTTTATTCATCGAAATGATAACTCTCTTTATTAGTTTATTCAAATTCCGACAAATTAAAATTTTACATCAGATCCATTGAGTGATGACCTTTTTTTTCATTTGCGATGAAGAACTCACTTGATCGACTAATTATTTTCCACTAACTAAAAATTGATTTCCGATCCATTGATTTAGAGAACACCCTATACATTTTATTAGCTTAGATTCTATTTAATCTTATACTGTAGTTCAATTTAAATAATCACGAAGATTAAAATTTTCTGCCCATATGATTATATGAAATCTAACTTACTAAAACTTACGTGAAATTACATGAAATGTTATTTCGTAACACAACCCTACCGAATAAACCTTTGATTGTACCTTAGTCAAATCGCACTCAAAAATTTTAATTTTTATGGTCACTCAATAGTTTATTTTAGATTAACTTGTTTTTTATACCGAAATTAATTACTTATCGAATTCGGTCATGTGAATGTAATTTTCCCATAAATCCTGCTAATTATGAAGATCAAAACGTGATAATTGACCAATCAAATCAAGCAAAAAAATTCAACATAAGAGTAATTATTATCGTTATTAGCGAAGTTTGACTATTCATTTATTTATACCTTAAAAATAGTAATTCTATTCTATTACATTTAACTATTACTACTTTTACAAAAGACGCATTATGACTCTTAGTTCATATAATTAATCAAAAAATATTATTTTATTAATCTTTAACATAAATAATATTTACACGATTTAGTTCTACAAGTTTAATTAATGCTCAAGATATAAGTATTTAACTAATATTATTAAAGTAACACGTCAAATAGTATATGTAAAGCTTTTCAACAGCCAAGATTAAAACATTTTTTTGAATTTCGATGCTATATATAGTACAGTGAACGTTGGCATTATTTTAAAGTTATAGATGGCTTTGTGACGATGTTTTATTAGCGAAACCTTATGTACTTAAAAAGTACTTTAAAACGTATAAATAAGTTACCCGAGCAATTGATTTACATTAATCTCGGTGTGAGCAATCATGGTTGTGACTAAGCTTGTTGGTGAAACTATACAACATAGTTGCACCAGCCTTTATTTATCACCAATTACCTTCACCTATCACCAATATTATTAGTTTTACTATTTTATTAATTTAACAATTAAGTTGCACCTTTAATTTTTTAGTTTCACCAGTTTTATCTGGTGAAATATATTAGTTTCACCAACAAGCTTAGTTGTGACTATAGATGCTGATAAAACTGGTGAAACTCTTGGTGAAATTTAATATAACAACTAATCACATTTTAGATAGTCACCAGTTTCACCAGCATTATTTATTTTCACCAGCATCTATAGTTGTGACGAATAAATATTGGTTATATATTTACTAAATCAGTGTTGGTCAAATTAGTGATCGACTATAAATTTACTGGTCATTGGTTAAAGGGTTTCTGGCCAAACTGGTCTGGTCAAATTGGTCAAATATGAACCAAATTAACAAATCAGACCAATCAAACAAATTTGATTATAGTCTGATTGATCGATTTATTCATATAACTAGACCATTTGACCAACTTGACCAATGTTAAAGATGCTTGACCGGACTGGTCATTGGTCAAATTGGTCTGGTCAAATGGCTGGTCAGCCCAACACTGATATTTACATAGAAAATGCTTATTAGTCACCGGTGATTGGTCACACCCTCAAATATTTTGAGTGACGAATAAGCATTGGCTATGTAAAATATATAGCCAATGTTTATTCGTCACACCATGATTGCTCATACCGTGATCAATGAATTCAGCCGAATGATTTTCGATCAATTTTTTTTAGGTGTCCCATGATTTATGAAAACAGCTGTATTGGTACTTTATATTCAAATAAGGTTTACAAAGTAAAATACAGAGTGAATTAGAATATTAGATTACAGCCCGTAAGGTTATTTCAACGCGAAGTTCCAATTGTATTTTAGATATTTAATACGTAAGAGATGGGAAATCAAAATTAAGAAATTCAGATTAAAAATTCGATCGGAACGGTCTTTTACATTCAGAAAAACTGATTAACTATAACGTTTCATACAAAAATAATTTAGCTCATCAATTTTTGTCACCAATATTATACATATAAATAAAATGTGCCAAAATAATGAAGTAAAAATTCTTTCAGAATTTCAAATATATAAATAAATGTAAAAAGTAAAACGTATAACAGTGCAGACCAATCAAGCCGTTGATGAATTTATTAAAATAAACAGAAAAATCTATGACATGTGCAAATAAATTAAATTAGGAACTGAATTAAGATTTAGTAATATATCGATATCGAGTAGGTTGAAATGTTTTTTTTAGGAAGGTTAAAATGTCTTGACTTTTATATTATTTATAATGGCATTATTTTTGTTAAGAGCTTGCATCATCACATATGCTATTATACTTATTTCAACTGTTTTCCCACGCCTAACCCTTGCTTTCACGTTGTAATGCAGTTGCGCAGATTCCTTTCCTAGATTAATATATTATAATCCCGTAAATTGTGATTTCAAAGTAGTATATCATCTGCAAGATCGGCTAAATTACCCTCAAATATCTTAATAGAGCAAGAAAAGATTGGTATAATTTTATTAACAAGACATTTAATCTTTTTATGAATAAAGTCCGAGAGTTAGTAACAATATCACCCGTGATTTTGGTACAGCGATTGGGGGGATTAATTAAATAACTTCGCAATAATTCGTTAAATGAGTCTACATAAAGTGCTCGTGACGTAATTTATAGCTCGAATTGACACAAACCCTAATTACACTGACCAAGCCTTTCCACGCCTCGATCTATGCCTTCCAATATTATGGTTCAGTAGTTTTTTTTATAGGTTTCTCAAAAACCAGTTTCCCTTTTTCAGAGAAGCCTCAAACTTCAGGTCGGAATCTACCGGATCAGCCCGACGAAGCAAACAAGAGAAAAATGCGGAGAAACGGTAGTCTAAACTCACCTCGGAGCATTAATAAAAAAATGTCGAGGAAGTAATTTTACCTATATGCACCTCTAAATATAAGTTGAAAGTGATACTAACATTAATGTTAATTAAATAAACGTTAAATTAGATTTCTTCTTAAAACTGCTCCGCTTTAGCCACCCCATTAATGCTAACCTAACCAACCATTTCCAATGGGCTCCGACTCAGAATTTCGTATACCGTATATAATATTTAGTAAACAATAATATTCTCAAGTTCCCAAAATTTCTGATCGGAGTCTATCGAAAGCATAAGCAACACTGAGGTGCGCTATATTTATAAAAATGTAGCCACATCCTGTATGTTTACAGCAAATTATCATGAGGGTAACTTGCAATGTTTTTACGATCTTGAATCATTTATTAACCTGCCTATTCATTGATTCCGATCAGAAATTTGGGGACCTTCCTTTAAGAGTTGTGGAACGAAAAAATTTGCTTATCTTTGCAACTCCTTGCTATATACAAGATAGAGATCTTTATAAGGATAATCTGAATCATTTGCTTTTTTATCCTAATAGAATACGTATATTATTTATATATACGTAGGAATATTTTCTTCAATTTTAAGTTTTCCATTCTAACGGTAGGTTTTTTATTTGAGTTCTGCCAAGGGAAAAACATGTAACCATTCATATAATTTTTATATGAATGATGACGGTTTACCTTGGCGGCATTCATTTATTTTTTTATTTTATACAACCTGCCATTCATTATTTTTAATTATTTTAATTATTTTTTTTTGTTTTTAGATGTCTGATTCTACTATATTATACAATGGTACTACTCCTTTAAACACGTCACAATTTTTCTTTCAAACACTTCTCACGGCGGTTAGTTCTATTTATTATATTATTTGTTTTATTTTTAGTAACTAAGTAAATCAAAAAATTATTTTCTTAGGTCTTAAGTCCTGTATTTTACAGTATCATTTCTTTGAATCTACTTTTCACTTATTTTCAAACCTTACTTACAACGGTAACTAGTTTTATTATTATATGGGTGTGGCAAGGGAAAACAGGAATTCTTGAATTCGAATATTTCACTCTCAAAGAGTTGCGTTTAATTAAGTTAAAACGAGTTTCAATCACATGCACTATTATAGACTTAGGTAGCGCACCCACAAAAATTGTACCCTGTTGTGTAACGTGAGATAAAGGCTACTTTAGGGTTAGAGAATTTAGCAAAGTGCAATAGCGAAGAAGTTTCTAACCCAAAATTTTGTGAGGAATTTTTTTTTTTTTTGTTAGAACGCAGTAAGTAGTTTCATAAGCAAAATTTTGAGTTATCTTAAAAAAATCGTGATTTTCACGTTACGTCTGATCTTGAAGTTTGATTGGTCTGGGGTATAATTGTTGTGGGGTGCTAGGGCGTTCTATTATAGGAACAAATTATTCAAGGGCAAATTAAGTCTTAAAACTTTCTAAAAGTGAAATATCTAAATTTAAGGATTCCTGTTTTCCCTTACCGACTCACATAATTTATATAATAATAATTAATTAATAATAATAATAATATAATTATTACTTTCGCTTTATTTTAATTTATAGGCACTGAAAAATGGATCAAATTTCACTTTAGATGTTAAATTTATAACAGTTACTATCAATGTAGATCCTAAAATAGATATTGAAGACGCCGAAATTAAATTGGAAAAACTTTCATAAAATCGATGTTGAAGACACTGAAAATTAAATTGTGAAAAGTTTAATAATAAATGACTAGTTATTATATTTTTAGGCAACTTGTAATTTTTTTAACGTTAAAAACGTTATTATTGACAAACTATAAATAATAACGAAGTGTAGTTGTAACAAAATGTAAATTTTAAATTATTAAATTTATTAAACTGTCAGTTAGAATGACATATAAAGATTACTGTAATTTTGTGTTTCTGTCATACCTGACGTACTTTTAAATACAAAATTATAACTCAAACTAATATAAATAACTTTAAATACTTTCATAATGACTACCTTAGGATCAATTGTTAAGCTTATATGAATCACGATTTAGTGTAATGTAACATGATCGATCAGAAAATTCAAAAAAAAAAAATGTTTATATTGTAATTGTTTATTTTTTGTAAGTATTCAAATAATGGTTTTGAATTTGACAGTAATAATGCTTGTTCTTTTACATTTAATGCTAAAAGATACATCCTACAAAATTTTTGTTTATAGAAATACTGTATTTAAATTGTTCCATAATATTAGTGCAACATGTCTACACCATTGACAGCTTACTTGAAAACAGTACGATAGTATTTAAGATTTTTAATATTTCTAAAAGGCATTTGTTTGACAATTCTATTACTACGGATTTTAGCTTTAAGCTATAACTTTGTTGACTTGTGTGATAAGATTAGCATACATCGTCACATTTACGTGAAAAACGGACTAGTTTTAAATAGTTCAGTCTGATCCATAAAGGTTTAAGTTTCGAGTCCAGCCAAACAAATTTCGGTTGAACGATTTAACATCCTAGTAAAAAAAATCGATTATTACTGTGGGCACTTTATTATCTCAATATTTATTACGTTTCAATAATCATTAATTGGCTTTTAATCCTCGTCGGACTTGCATTGGATGGGCCAACATACTGTAACTGCGCAAGCAAAGCATGTAATTTTTTGGGGGTAAGAAGTAGCTGATTAAGATTATTGGGTATCTGCATATACCCTACTATGTAAGTAATAAGCTAATCTCCTTGTTGTTTATTACAAAAATGAAATAAATTAAAGAAAAAATAAACAAATTTAAAGTTTTTAATAACAATTTAAACTTTTTTAATATCAAATTCTGCATTTTTGACTTCGATATCAGGTTTTACATTGATAATAACACTTATAAATTTAAAATCTATAGTGAAGCCAAATCTAAAACTTAATAGCTAATAATTTAAAATAAATCAAAATTAAATCAAGGGATGCGCAATGTACGAAAAAAAAGAGGGAGAACAAGAAAAAAAAAAAACTTACCATTATGAGGAAAGTTTGAAAATAAAAGAAGATTAAATGCAAAAAAATAATACCGTAATAAATTGGGCTTAAGACCTAAAAGAAATATCTTAATAATGAAAAAACATGAAAAACAAACAATGAAATAAATAAACTAACCGTTGTGATAAGAGATTGTAAACAAAATATAAACAAGTAAAAAGTGATAGAACCGTTATTTAATATAAAATCTAACATCTAAAAAATAATTCAATTAATTTAAATAATTGGGATATAAAGTAAACAGGATAAAACAAATAACTAACTTTTAAAAGTTTAAGTTTTGAGAACTTATTTGTTAAAAAATTTTTCTAGATATAAATAATGTTTATAAGCATGAAAAAATTCATCATTTAATGACTTCGAAACAACTCTTTCGAGTTCAGATTATCTTAATTAGGACTATATAATAAGGTAGACATTTCGATATCATATGAGAATCAATTCTACAATTGGATATTCTTGTCGGCTGGCCTGCATTAAGTTACATAAGTTACATAATACAAACCAAAACTATTAAGACTTAATTTTGACAGGAATCTTGTACGTATTTATTCAGTAAATTTTTATTTGTGTGCGAATCATACGCAAACCATTAGCTCCGAGCTAAATTCGTGCCGATCATTTATAATCTTAGCAATTAGCAACGTTTCAAATATCAAATTTCATTTTCAAATTTGGGAATGGTCCTGTATGAAATTCTTAAATTTTTAATTCAAACATCAATTTTCAATAAGAAAAATATCATTTTTTAACATACTTTAGTGTTACCCATTTTATTAGTTATCAATTAATCAAGAGATTTTTTGCAAGTTGAAAATGATTGAGAATAGCAACATCTAGCCACTGGATTAGGTGAAATGTATACGTACGTACGTACCTCAAATTAATACTTGCGTCAGATTAAAACCATTAGGCCAAAAAAAGAAGAGGTCTTTCTTAAAACAAATAAAGTCAAAAAATTAAATCTACACTATTTAACAACAATAGCTTTTGTACATCTCTTTATGTAAATTCACTCGTTAACTAAAAGTTTAATGTCACCATAGAGCATCCTGAGGCGATCATGCCAAAAGATTTATAAAAAAAAAAAATCCATTAGGCAAGATTTAATCTGCACAACATATATAAACAAAAAAAAAAATTCTTGTGTAAGTATCGGGCGATAACGGCATTATTAAGTGATAGCGCTTAAGACTAGGCGTGGGAAAGACATAGAGATAAACATAGTACAGCATCGAACAGATAGATCTCTTACTTTTATATAGTGCTTTAAGTTCCGATCATGCTTTTTCAAGAAAGCCCATAAACTCGTAAGAGATGCTCCAAAATTATTCCGGGTCGAAATCCATCGAAAGATGGGTGTGCGATATGTTGTTAAGACTTAGCTGGCAATGTAATTTGCATGATAAATTAAGTGTAATTTACTGTAATTTAGTATACGTCATGTAAGTTAACAACCCTAGTGTGCGATCAACAAATATAATTAATTTTTTTTAGCCATAAATGAATCGCATAAAAAAGAGCATGATATTTTCCATGATGATAAATAATCAAATCAGCTTTGAATTGATGATCTTTAATAATTCCTTCAAAAATTTTACAAGTTATTATCACATGAATGAGAATCTTGTTATATTTAAAAATATTGCTAAGAACCTCATTTGAAAATTCATTTAATTTCATGATTGAGAATGTTTTAATCATAAATTAAAATTTGATAAATTTATATATTATTTCAATTATTAATCTTCTTTGATAATATCTTGTTTTAGAAATTACATTTTTTAAATTTTACATGTTATATATTCGTTCACAGATACATTATTATCATATTCATCGATTGCCTTGCTTAATTTTTCATAAAATTCTTCATTCGCATCTTGACAACATTCATCACGATATCCACCTGGCCAATCAGTCCAACCATAATAAATAACTCCGACACATGGTTTTTTACTACTATACATTTGTTTATAATTTTTATCTTTACCAATATCTAAATACTTTAATAACTCTCTAGCGATAACAATATCGCGAACTCTAATAGAATTTGTAGTTCCTTCCCATGGCGTAATCCAATCTGTTACAAAAATTTAAAAGGAATGTAATATCTTGTTAATATTATACATATTATATTAGATATTAAAATTTTACTCACCTTTAGAAAATTGATTTGATAAACTACTAGACATCTCATCAATCTTTCGACCTTGAATAAAGTGATACCTATGAATTATTAATTATAATCTCAATAATTAATAATAATTAATTATTTCAATACAATCATTAATTTTACCTATCGTCACTTATTAATTCAAAAGTAAAATCGAAATTGGCCATGATTTAATTTAATCTTACAAATTAACTTATTTATATTAAATTATTAACACTATACAATTTTGTTGGGATCAGATTTTGTCGTTTATGGTAATGTTTTTGCTATTTGTGATTTGTGGTACATCGACTTTCCGGTTATTTTTTTATACTGTGTACTGCATCTAATTGATTTTGACCATAAGATCGTCAATAATTTCCTTGTAATTATATAAAAGGAATGATCTACACCTGCCATTTTTATAATATCTATAGTAGCTACTGTATCGTATCATATCGTATCGTATCATATTATATCGTATCGTACTGTACTAGATACTAGATTCTGGGTGCAAGGCATCAATCGCTATGTACTAATTACAAAATTATGTTTGCAAATTTTCGTTTTTATATCTATTTTTGTATTTTTGATAAATGTGTTTATCAGATTTTTTTATCGTGGTTTTTTTGCCGGGTAGATAAATTGATAATCATTGATCATCAAAGGCCAAAAAGAAGGTTCATAACGAAAGAATTTGATGATTTCTTTTTTTAATTTTGAAAACAAAAACATGATCGATACCTGTAATTGTAATGTGATGTATTACTTCACCCAGAAATCAAAATACAAACGTCTGCAACCATGTGGCTTTGCCCGAATTATTGTATAACCCAGTCGAATATAAATTCTTGTGATGTTACTCTGAAAAATTTGATTATGACTTGTGTGGCTTGTCAGTATCAGCCGAATTATAGTAAAAAGCCTCCAAAGATTCAAATACTTTGTAAGCTGAATTGCCAGTACATAAATACATAATTATTTTTACGTTTTTCGCTCACTAAAATTGTTGGCAATACAAATGCATACATTATAAAGATGCTGGTTGGTTCGCGTACTCTTTTATTTTCATTATCATCAATTTTTCGTATACCTTCTGACCAAGTTGCAAAATATACAGAGCCAAATTCTCCTTTGCCAATTTCTTTAACATCGACTAATTTATCAAATGGAATCCATTCAATCGCATCTTTGTATTTATAAGTTCTAAGTTGAAATTCTCAAATGCAGTCATCAATATCCTTGTTTCTACTACTTGTCCATCCTTGTGCTGTAATGTCGGGATTGCATGTCAGACACCACATAGGTTGAGTGTTATTTTCAGTACAGTATGCACATTTACCGTATTTAGGGTTCCTTTGTAATTATAATATAATTTTTTATATTATCATTTATTATTTATTTTAAATTTCATGTGACTTTGAAAATTATACTCCTCGACTAAATAATTAATGCAAATAAAATGATTTGAAAGGTATTAATAAAATTATTTGTATAAGTGTTTAGAGTTAAGTATTTATGTTCATGTTTTTAACTTCACTGATTAATATTAATAAATTATCTTTATACTCACACACTATTTGAAGGGTATTAGATAATTAATTAATTGTAAATAAGTATTTAGAGTTAAGTATTTATTAATAAGTATTTATGTTCATGATTTTAATTCCACTTATTAACATTAATAATTCATTTTTATACTCACTAACTGAATGAAATGATTTGAAGTATATTAGGTAATTAATTAATTGTAAATAAGTATTTTGAGTTAAGTATTTATGAATGAGTATTTATACTCATGATTTTAATTCCACTGATTAATGTTAATAAATCATCTTTACACTTATGCACTATTTGAAGGGTATTGGATAATTAATTAATTGTAAATAAGTATTTAAAGATAAGTAGTCTATGATTTTAATTTCACTGATTAATATTAATAAGTTATTTTTATACTCACTTAATATTTGAAGGGTATTGGATAATTATTAATTGTAAATAAGTATTTAAAGATAAGTAGTCTATGATTTTAATTTTACTGATTAATATTAATAAGTTATTTTTATACTTACTTAATATTTGAAAGATATTGGATAATTAATTAATTGTAAATAAGTATTTAAAGATAAGTAGTCTATGATTTAATTTCACTGATTAATATTAATATATTATTTTTATACTCACTTAATATTTGAAGGGTATTAGGTAATTAATTAATTGTAAACAATTATTAGCGCTAAGCATTTATAAATAAATATTTATGTTCATTGTTTTAATTCTACTAATTAATATTAATAAATCATCTTTATACTCACTAACTGAATGAAATTATTTGAAGGTTATTAGATAATTAATTAATTGTAAATAAGTAAGTATTTATTTATGCTTATATTTCAATTTCACTGATTAACATTAATAAATCATCTTTATATTCATGTACTATTTGAAGGGTATTAGATAATTAATTAATTATAAATAAGTATTTAGAGTTAAGTATTTATAAACAAGTATTTATGTCTATGATTTTAATTCTACAAATTAATAATAATTATATAATTGTTTTAAAACAAACAAAAAACTATTTTAAAGTAATTTAAAACTAATTAAAACTATTATATTTAAAACACTTACTATTCTTAGCTATAACAACTCTAACTGAGCAGTGAAGCTGCTCATATTTGCATCTTCTAGTTAATATGAATATAATATAAATAAGATATTAAATAAAATCATTTTATGATAAAATGTTATTTCCTAACTAGGCACTTGAGTTGCTCAAAGGGAGTTAGAATTGAGTGTAATATATTATATTATACTAGTATAATATATATATACAGATGCGTATGACAGAAATACATAGCTTTAGATAAAACATTTATGAAATTATATTTAAAATTAAATAAAATATATTTTATATTAAATTTATGATAAGTGACTATGATATATAGTTATAGAAGCAGATATTATCATGAAAGATCTGTAGATTCCTATTACATAACCAAAATCAGAAACTAAGCTAATTGTTAAGGTAATTTGAGTAGACATTTAAGGGGTTTAAAGAAAGTTTTAGTTGTTATACTTTTTCTTTGCTGTCACCCAAAAATATAACTTTCTGGCTCTATTGAGAACTTTTACCTACTCACCTACCTACCACTATACTGAGTCACCTGATACATTACTCTATACATCTGAGCTAATTCACAACAAAAACCTTGAGACCAATTTGATAAATATTTTTATGTGCTGTGGTTACGCTATACTATTCTCATGTAGCTATGTACTCCATACCATTCTCAAATTGAAACAGATAAGGCTTTATGAATATAACTGTAAAAGAAAAAACATAGTATTTATTTGTTGTAGTTGTTGAGACAGACAGCACTATTCCCATATTATTTTAAATAAATTTATCTCGAGCAAAAATAATTATATTTAATTATCACTTATCTAATTTAAGTTGTAAGACTGTAAATATATATAAATGATGATACTTTTACACTAATCTTATAACTGTTTGTTATCAGTTAAAGTATTATTCGAAATAATATATTTGATATCTACTTTGTTAATTCATTTTTGTTTGCATCACGAGGCATATATATTTTCAGGTTAACCTAGTCAATAGATATAATATAATTTATTATATAATGTTAAATTAATAGATTTAGTTAAAATATGTTTATTCAGAGATTGGAACTGGTTTTAAACTCAAGTAATATTGGTTTAAGAGAATAAAATTGAGTTAAACTGTACAGTTATCAGATTTAAGTATTTGATTGTATATCATAAATTAATAATCTATGAAATTATCCCTTAATCTGTAAGCTATTTCCAGGCAAATTTGTTTAGAAAATTTGTGTAATACTGCTATGATCTATATTTTTATAAAATTAAAATATTCAAACAAAAATTTTTTTAATAATAT